CATATGCAGTGAATTAGATTCACCAAAGTCTTCTTTGTGGTCCATCACATCCACCTGTACAGAACAACTATTCCATCAATCCCAAAACAAAACCACGGACACTCATTTTTTTAGACCGTTTCTCTAATTACCATGTTCCAGCCCCTTATTAAAGTATTATTAATCAGAGTAAATAACACTATTTCCTGGGTAATTTGTTTCTGGAATTCTTTCCAACAGCAAAGTAAGCGCTCGCTTGTTCACTGCTTTTGCCAGACCATATAATGGCCACTCTGTGCTGCTTTTTCCTGATTTTAGCCTTCAATTTCCTTTGGCAAAGCAGAAACTTTATTAGTTTGCCCTTAATTAAGCTCATAGAACATTAATAAAAACCAAAATGAGCAAACTACCTCAGAGCTCCTGCACTTATTGGCACAGTTTATGCCATTCAATCAGAATTTGACAGAGGAGCTAGAACAGGTGAGGAACAACCAGGCACTCAAGGATGAAGTGGGAAGACATTGTGGAACCCCAAGTGTTTGATTCACAGGAGAACCTCCACAAAGCAGTCTGGCTTTAAGCCCTGGGGAAAGAGTCAGATCTCTGCTTACTCACAACAGAGAAAAACCCAGCCTTAAGCAGCACCAGCAATCCAGGCCGACAGGCGACAGCTGGAATTATTTGCTCATCGATGACCACATCTCAAAACCTGCTCAGAAATGTACAGGTGTTCTGCTGGCTCACCCAGCAGAAAACAGATGAGAGGGAAGGCTAATGATGGAGATGGACAAGATGGATGGGAGAGAAGGAATGGGAATAATTTCACTGTGCACTTGAAAGCAGTCAAGTGGTTTCCTCTTCAATTACGTATGAGACCCTTTTCCCCTGCAAAAGAAGGCTTCTTCTCTCCCATGGACTCAGTGGCTGGTTTTCCTTCACAGCTGAAGAGGCTGTTTCAACCACTAATTGCTTCTGGTTAGGAAAAAAAATATTTATTCCACAAGCATGGCTCTCTGCCTTGAAAATGCAGAAAGGTCAGAGTGCTCGAGGAGCTTTCTGTTTGTTTTCTATCAATAACAGAAGGCACAAGCTGACAGCCATGCAGATACCCAAGTCAGCTCTAAATCCAGGGAGCTCCAGAAATGGAAACAGCCTGGTTGTCATAGCAGCAGAGCAGGATACCTGAGCTAATTACTCAGTCTGAGAGGCAGAGTTAATTAGCCCTGATGCAGCATCACACTGACACAGTTATAATCCTTCTGGGACCTCATGTACATATTGCTGATTAGACATTTCAGATTGCTTGCAACCAGCTCACAGAGCTCAGCACTCAATGCTGTGCTTTACATGAACATTCAAAAGAGGAAAAAAAAGGGAAACCAAAAGTATGTTCCTACAAAGAAAGCAATGGAAAAGAGCTGACAAAAACCCCCAGAAAACTCTGAACACTGAACTGCAACACTTCTGCAAGGGAGGAGGGTGCCTGAATCCACAAAGCTGCAGACCAAAGCACAACAATGGAGATGGAAATTTCAGTGGTGTGGATACATCTCCAACCCCAGTCCAGTGGCACTTAATTGAAAAAAGGGCTTTATCATTACAATAAGCTAATGTCAAAATGTTCCCTGTTACCTAATATTGAAAAGTCTGAAATTTTGCTCCTGCCTTAGAAATAAGAAAGTAAATACACCACCACCTGCTTTACAGATTGTAAATCCCATGGAAAATAAACACTTACTACCAATAGACATACCTGTTTTATTTTCAAGGACTACAAACAGCATTTTTGCTGTTTTTCCACAAAGAAGTAGTATTTTAACACTTACCTTTTCACCTTTCTAAAGGACTATCTGATACAAGATCCTGCCTCTAGAAGCAGCAACAGATTTTCAAAGGGTCAGAAACAAAAAATGAATGGGTGAATGTATCAGTCCTTGTTAACCATTTTTCTGCCACAGAAATTCAACGTAACATGACAGAAAGGACTACACAGACAAGCTGTGAAAGACAGAGACTTTTTTTGTATTCTCAAAGGAAAAAAGCAAGATAAAGAAAAATTTTTTACTTAACCATTTAACTTCTTCGTAATCAAAATTAGCAAAGGCAACATATGTACAGATTGAGCAGGCAAACTAGAGGAAAGATGACATGACAAGTGACCAACTCCCATGCAAATCTGCTTATTGAACTGAGATATTTTGACAGTTTAATACAAAAAACTTCTCATTTACACCAAATAGCACTCTGTGTTTTTAGACAGATTACTAGAGTCACATTAAAACCTAATCTCCTCTGTTTTTAATGGACATACATTAAATAGAGAATTAGACGTGTTGACAAAGGACAGATATGCTTGAATATTTACTGAATGCATATTTATTGAATTTTAAATTATACAGATCTTTTACATTCACCTGTAGGAGCCACTAATTTAACAATTGTTAGTATTAATAATTTACATAATATACCTGCTTACTCATATTTACAAGAGATCACGTCTCATTTCAGCAACAGCTCCAAGCAAAGCTGGAAGATGCCAAGAGGTTCATTCAAGCATCTGTGCTGCCCAAGAGAATGGGATAAATACATCAATGTTTCTCTAAACAGAAAGGTATTTTTTCAGGATCAATGGTGTGGCTAAATGTAACAGTTTGGTGCCTCGATTTCTAATTAAAGCCAGTTAATGGACACACTCTTCCACTTGCTCAAAACTTCTGAAAGACACCTCAAGCTAAATGTACTTTACATGTATTTAGATATCAAGTGATTCTAAGCACTATTGAAATGGTAGATTTATAAACCCAGGATGACAATTTCCTGAGAAACTTCATCCCAAGTTAGTTGTCCTCCTCCCTTCAGCTAATGATCACAAACTTAGATATATTTTCAGTCAGCACTTAGATCAGACTTTGGGAAAGGAGGTTGAAGAATCCAAGACAATGTTAGTGGAGCAAACTGAAAAGAAGAAAATTAAGGAAGATAAAGCAATCATTGAGATTCACAAGGGGTGGTTATTTATGAGGAATAGCAAGAAATAAGCAAGAATGTCAATGAAGTCTCTAAAGTGAAATAAGGATGTCATAACATATGATCTTCCCATGAAAAAGAACTTTTGTCTCCCTCCCAAAATACAGAACAACCCATATTTCTCATTTCCATTAAGGACAGCTTGGTATGCACTTCACCCTAAGTGGACTACCAATAAAATCCACTCTCTTCTAATAAGCTCTTATTTATTCTAGAAATAAGTGTATTACTGGAAACTGGAAAGAACTGCACTGTTTGCCAGGATCTTAACCCTGTTCTACAGCTATTACTGTAGCCACTGCAAAAATTCCAGCATGGAAATAAATTTCCCAAACACACTATAGACTTGGGGGATAAGAAATTTTTGCTTCCTTTCTCCTGTTTGGGAGCAGAAGGCACTGAAAGAAGCTCAGCAGAGATAGCCCTGGGATACAGAGCAAAGCAGTGAAAATGAGAAGTCACCATTCAAAGAAAAGCCAAGTAAGTCAATGACATCAGGCACTCGCAGTGCTGCTGCCTCCCAGCCAGTAGCAGAAAGCTTTTCTGGGAAGCACTTGCTCCAGCAGCATATGGCTGACAGTGGGCATTCAGCCTGCATCACTCACCAACAAGGGGTTTAAAAAATAGGAGTCTTATCAGAGTGTTGCTTTCTCTAATGAGGAGAAAGAAAGGGAGAATAGATTAGAGAGCAGCAGGGGAATGAAGATATTTATGACATGCCTTCACCAAAAGCTTGCATCAACAATATAACATATGGCCAAGGATGCCTTTGGTTTAATGCTGCCCAAATTCTTGCAAATAAGCTTGTGGGGTTGCTTTTTTCATATACACCTTCAGGAGAGAGTTAAAACAAAAAAAGAAAAAAGAAAAAGCACACAGAATACAACTACATTCACATAAGCTGCCAAACACAACTGAAAAATGTTTCAGGGGCTCTGTGTGAACAGTGCAGACATTGACACAGGCTGGTAACCTAAGTCCTAACCTTCAGCCCTTTCACAGAATGCTCCCAGAGCTTCAGTGTTTCCTGTCATCCACAAAATATGTTTATTACCTTCAGCTATGAAAAAGGGTTGCTGAAGCTGCTGATGGTTCCTATTTCTTTTCTCTAAAGCTTTTTCTTTTCTCTGATGCTCAAGACTTCACCTTATACTTAAGAAGGAAGAAAAGGGACTTCTATCCAGCCCATTTGATGCCTAAAGGTATATTCCCACATCAGATACAAAATGAAGAAAAAGAATTTCTGAATTGTTTTCAACTCTATTCAAAGTAAATTCTAGGAAGCATCAGAAAACAGTAAATAATTTCGTTCTGGGCACTACAGAGAGTGGAGCTCTATCTCTTTTCAAGGCTGAGTTAACAGAAAAAAGACAACACATGAAAAATTCATTAGAAGGCACAGTGTGGCAACAGAATGCTGGAATGGCTGACTGCTGCATGCCTGGTAATGGAGACTGCTTAAGTAGGGTATAAAAGGCAGGGCACTCGCTGCTGACGTGATAAAGGATCACAGAGGAACAAATACCACTGATGCTACATCCACAGGAAATCTTTCTTGCTGTGAACTGCAGCCTGATTCCTTCCTCTTCAGTTAAAAAAAATCATTTTCCTAAAAAGAAAGAAAAAATATCAAAGTTAAGGTATAGTTACTTACTAATTTTTTGCAATAAAAAAAGGGAAAAAACAGAAAGGAAAAATAAAGCTATGCCTACCTGGTGTACCAGATCTTTTCTCTCCTGCTGATGATGAATAGAATGTCTCTGGGAGGATTTGTACACTTCAGCATGATGACAGGAAAGTGAGAAAGGGAAAGGGCAGCCCTTGACAAACAAGCTTTAAATCAAGTTATTCTGGAAAGCAGACAATATTTCTATACAAACCATGCACACAAGGAGCACCAATCCAAGTGTCTTCCCCATCTTTACCAGCATTTGCATTAACACACGTTTGTAGGTCACATTTATTCTATACAACTTGTTTCCCATGTTCTGTACCTCGACATCCTGAACACTGGATAAAGAAGTTGATTAAATCCAGAAGTGCTATGTCCCTGTCTTGTTTATATGATTCAATCCAGTCGTCCACCACAGACTGTCAAGAAAAAAAGAATACTTATCAGAGACTCTTGAAAAGTGTTTTATCAAAGGCAAATGAATTATTCTTTTCAGAATATAATTTTATAATTGAGCATTTATTTTGCATAATTATACAAGTGTACAAATTCATATATCTATGCACCTTCTCTTAAGGTGGAGACAGAACAAATATTGTTAGAGAGCAGAATTATATGCACCATTTTCTGGTATTACATCATACAAACACAAGTTCAAATTGAAATTACTGTAATTCCCCAAAACTACTTAGAGAATTTTGTCAGTTTTAAAATTGTGGTGAAAAAAACTCCAAATATTGTTACTCTATTCAGAATGACCAACATATATTCCCAGAAAACTGATGAGTAGAAATACTTTGGGATAAATACTGATTTTATATTTCATAGTAAATATCCCAGTCAGTCACTCAGGAACACTGTAAATAGTTCAGGAAAACAAAATATAATGAGGAATACATAGTAAATAAATTAATACATAGAAGTAGGGTGTTTGTAAGCTACCTGGATCACAGATAGGAGACTCAGTCAGTTTTTAACTGTCCTCAGAACTACAGTTAGCCAGGAGCTATTTTCATCATCTCTGATATTCCAAGCTCCTCAGCTACATCAACACTGTAGGTAAGGAACTGTGTATATTTAATGTAATCAAATACTATGCTTTACTTGTTTTATGAGGGAAAAGACAAACTTTTCAGTTCCACACAAGCAACAGCATTCATTAGGAAAAGCTTGATGATGTTATCAGAGCACACCTTGCAAATAGATTTGTTTATTCTGGACAGTTCTGGTCTACAATGAATTTCTACAAAATTAAATTTAAAAAACCACACACACACACAAACACCGCACCATGCCCACACAACTGGCTTCTACTGTGCTGAAAAGGAATCAATAGGAAAGAAAGAATCCAAACAATTTGATCTCTTAGAAAAATCTGCCTTTTTCTTAATTAGTAGCTGAAAGGAGGGACCTTGGAAAATTCCTCTGGAGTTTCCAGTTTATCCAAGTGCAAACTCCCAAGGCTACCCTTGGCAGGTGTGTGAGGAAAAGGATGCAGCACACCACCTGTGCATGTCCCAGAGACACACAGAACTCTGAACTGAGCCAAAGCACTCCATGCTGAACACACATCACTACACTCACCCTGGAGCCAGGAGCAGACTAGCAGTACTATCATGTTATCCAACAACCAGCATCCATCTCTAAACACACAATTTGCCAGGAAACTCAGTTTTCACAGGTTTTGCCTCTCAAAACACACACACACACTCTCACAGTAGGAGAAGCAATCTTAAAAAGAGGTCCATCTGCTACTTAGAAGAAATTAGAAAGCAAGTTTTGGCCTCTAATTAAGCTTCACATAAGTTGAGGAAGCAGCACAAAACCAGTAATCTAAAATGTTATATCACCATTATTTCATCATGAATTCAAATCTGTTCCTGGAAGTACCAATCATTTCAATCAATCAGCAAAATTCTCCAGGGCACAGAAACCAAATGTAGCCAAATGTAAAAAGTATTTACTACACCAAATATTGACAGAGCTTAATGACCAGGCTGTTGGTGTACTACCAATTTCCAAGATTTGTTTGAACAGCTCTATTACTGTAGATATCAGAACAGGCAATTGCCAGAGCTATTTTTTACACTAAAGAAAACAGCAGCTATGCAGAGCCAGACAACAGGTTCACCTGCCCAAGAGGGCTTATACATGCAGGGGAAAGCATAAGCAAAGGGCAAGAATACACTGATATTTCTGAGTTACTGTCCCAGACCCTTAAGACCCCAGCAAATTTCTTCTCTCATGGATGTGTCTGTCTAAACCAGCTTCATATCTACATTGTCTTGCAGCAGTGTGCAATGGTTAATTAGTCACTGCAAAATGAAAGAATTGTGTTTTAAACTTGCAAATTGTTAATCCATTTATGTGACCCAATTCTTATGAAACAAGAAAAAACAAATTCCAACCCCCTGTCTGCATTTTCCATGCTTCCATCTGGTCACCTCTTTCCAGGCAGAATAATCCCACCCTGTGCCATGTGGCTTGCTCAGAAATAATTCTGTATCTTTATCCTTGCCCACTCTTGTCACACGTCTTGACAGTTTCTGAAGTCTACTATATTCTTCTTTGAGCCTGGGAAATCTCAGCTGCTTTCCCTGAGTGTTAGTAACTAGTTTCCCAGCATCTGTTCATTATCCACAGCTGAGTTTTCACAGCAAACACTCCCCGTGGAAGTAAGGCTGGCCCAAGAAATTCCCTCCCACGTTGTCTTACTCCTGTTTGTTGCTACAACTCACTGCCCCTTCCTTCAGCCATACCACAGCAGCTTCTCATGGACTGTGCTATAAATACTGCCAATGAACCCCTCTGAACTTAAAAAAGTGGGGAGCCAAGGAAAAAAAAAGTGAAGGAACACCTTTAAAATTTGCTTCTGTTTCTTTTGTAAAATTATTTAAATGATTTTTGCAGCACTATCTCAAACTGCAGAATCAGTGCAGTTCTTCTCACTTCTATTTTTTGTCTGTCATACAAAAAAAATAGTGTGGGACACGCTGTGTCCTTGGGCACTGGGGGCCCTCTCTGTCCTACCAGTGTGGCACTTGGACTTCCAACCCAGAGCCACCATGCCATTTACAGAAAAATAAAGACAAGTGGCTCATCTCCAGATTTGGGGACCAGACTTGAGGCAATGCAGTCTTCAATGCCAGCAGTAGATAAGAAAAGCAGAAAAATCAGACCAAAGGTTCTCAGAGGGACAGCAGGCAAAGACTGTCTGACCTCCCAGAGAACTGACAAAGCTGGAAGTAAAATCTGAATTTGTGGGTAGGGCTCCTTTGATCTAAGCTGGCCTGCACAAGCTCCTCAGTGCCCTGGCACTCCCTGCTGTGTGTGACACACCCAGGCACAGCCAGTGCAACTCCCTGCTCTGAACAGGTACCTGTGGAGAGCTGGACAACATAACTGAGCTGCACAATGCTGTGTTTGCCCCAAGAGAGCCTCACTGACTGAGGGGCTGCAGGAAACATTTCACACACAGGCACCTGACCTGCCAGCATCAGCACAGAGCCACACAAACTGCATTCACTAAGCCCTAAAATCAGTGCCCCAAAATAACACCCACAGCCCCACACACAGCCCCTGTGCACGCCTGGCATGCTGGCTGCCTCATTTTGTTAGAGACTACAGTTTAAGGCAACAGGAGATGATGAAGCCAGACTACATATGCTACAACAGTTGGAACTTAATCAAACTGTTGACTTTTGATGTAACTGAAAAGAGCTATAAAAACTGAAAACACTAGATGAATATAAAAATGACACACATCAGACCCAAAAGGGAAACCAAGCATCAACTGAACCAAGACAAAACAGCAGTAATGCAAAAAAAATTGAATACAAGCAAAAAATTGAATCAAACCACAGGCAGCACTGTAGCAAATAGTGCAACATGTAAGCCTTGCCAGAAATGGAATTATTTTGCATGAATATGCATAGAGAGAAGGATTCATATTAAAAACAAGGTTTTCTAACCAACAGGCCCCAGGTAACGGCAAACCCTCTTTTTATACATAATCCAAGAGCAAACTCAGGGAAATGGCCCACACTCGTTCACCTTTCCCAGACCTCTTGTTCTTGCCCCTCCCTGTCTCCTGTCCCAAGCACAGATCACTAACACTTGAAGGCACACAGGTGACATCAGGGAAGGACAAGGACCAGGTGGACCTTTCAGAAAGGAGCTAGCTACAAGCAGGTTCCATCCCCCAGAATCATCCCCACAAGTCTCCCTGCCTACTTCCACAAAACACCTAGCAAAGAAGGCAGCAATAGATTGCATGAGCTGCTGCAGTGGTACCCATCTGCTTCCAGATGTTTTTACCTACAGATGCAGTGGGGAGCATGGATTTACCACATGGAAACGTGCTCTTACAGGCTGTGCATGAAATACATGATAAATTCAGCATTCTGGGGAGGCACATGACCTACAGGACATGGGCTGCAGCCTGCCCAAGGGTATCCACGCTTTTGGGATTCACCAACTTCAAGGCACAACGAGCTCAATTCCATAGATAAAACCTCCAAATGACTCCAGTAACACCAACAACCTTCCTCCACTCCCTGCTGCCAGGACACATCTAGACACTTAGACACATGCACACAGACACATACATGCACCACATCTCTGGGTCAGTCAACAAGTCCATACATGTACCTCACAAAAATAAGACACAACCATTTTTTTAAATTATGAAATTGCTTCTACTCTTATGAGAACTGAGTAAAAAATCAAGGTTTCCTTTAAATGGCAGATGATGTATGGTCCAAATGTAGAGTCAGTACAAAGATTTTCCAAAGCCTGCAATAATTTTCAAAAGAATCTCACAGAAATGAACTCTCTGATGAGTCTGTGTTAAGAACTACCCTGGAGCATAATTTGAAGAATATGCCAGGTAAGCAACCCCACAGAAATAAGCCTAAATGAAGTCACGCAAATAGCAGAATAGATCCACAGCCTGAGTAAACAACTTCAAATCAATCAACTTGCAGAAATATTGACCTTCACATCTCAAAGTCTGCTAAAAGATAAACCATTTTATGGTACTGAAGGGGAACAGCAGCTTGGGGTTGCCAGTAAAAGCAAGTCAGATGCAATGAATGAAATAATGAAGCTAGTGATCTTATTGCCTCCTCGAGGCTTTGCAGCTATGGATGCATTTCATATTCCTCCAGTGTGAGAGAATTTAGGAGCATTAAGGGCTGGAGGAAGCAGAGGGACTGACTGCAGAGGACACCTTGCCAGCTTGTGCAAATTAGCACAGTCCCACTAAATATTAATGAAAGCTGATTTCAAAAAAAGCTATTTCACAATTTCAATTAAGTAACAATCTGGCAACAGTGCTACAAACAAAAGGGAAAACAAATGACACCATATACAAAGTTCATGTTGAAATGGAAGATCTCAGTCAACTGTAAACCAAGGG